CCATTAAAAAGAATTCATTTGAATCAGTTCTAATGAGATGGATGAAACTGGAGCCCATTATACAGAGTGAAGTAAGCCAGAAAGATAAAGAACATTACAGCATACTAACACATATATATGGAATTTAGAAAGATGGTAATGATAACCCTATATGCAAAACAGAAAAAGAGACACAGATGTACAGAACAGAAGTTTGGACTCTGTGGGAGAAGGCAAGGGTGGGATGTTTTGAAAGAACAGCATTGAAACATGTATATTATCTAGGGTGAAACAGATCACCAGCCCACGTTTGGTGCATGAGACAAGTGCTTGAGCCCAGTGCACTGGGGAGACCCAGAGGGATTGGGTAGAGAGGGAGGTGGGAGGGGGAATCGGGATGGGGAATACATGTAAATCCATGGCTGATTCGTGTTGGTGTGTGACGGAAACCACTGCAATGTTGTGGAGTGATTGGCCTCCAACTAGTGAGAACAAATGAAAAAAAAGAAAAAAGAAAGAAAAAAAAAATTACTTTGTGCCTCAACGTTCTTATCTCCAAAGGAGAATAATGATACAAATTTACCTCTTTGAGTTAAATGAGTCATATATAAGATGGACTACTACTCAGCCCTAAAAAAGAAGGAAATAATGCCATTTACAACACATGGTGCCCCTAGAGATCATCATACTAAGTTAAGCCAGTCAGAAAGAGAAGGGCAAATACCACATGCTATCACTTATATGTGGAATCTAAAATATGACAAAATGAACTTATTTACGAAACAGAAACAGACACACAGACACAGAGAACAGACCTGTGGTTGCCAAGGCGGACGGGCTTGGGGGAGGGATGGAGTGGGAGTCTGGGGTTGGTAGATGAAAGTTATATATAGAACAGATAAACAACACAGTCTATTGTATAGCACAGAGAACTGTATTCAGTATCCCATGATAAAGCATAATGGAAAAGAGTATTAAAAGGAGAATGTATGTAACTGAATCACTTTACTGTACAGCAGAGATGAACACAACACTGTAAATCAACTATACTTCAATAAAAAATATTGACCATCATATTTTAAAAAAAGACTTGATGGACCTAAACCATGTTAAGAAATGGCTGGGTTGTCCAGTGGTTAGGACTCTGCACTTTCACTGCCAAGGGCCGGGTTCAACCCCTGATCAAAGAACTAAAGTCCCACAGGTTGTGTGGAGTGGCCGAAAAAAGGCTGGAACTTAGCACTCAATATATGCTAGCTACTCATTGAATTTTTTTGTTTACTATGAAAGAAAATATGATTCAAAGCTTAAGGGTAGATGTGAGGACAGCAGTGGGGCTGGTAGAGATGCAGAGCTGCCTCCATGGACGCACACCTGAGAAAAGCATGGGACTGCTCTTCCCCTGAGCAGCAGAGACGGACCACAGAGGCCGTTCTCCACGAGGGATGCCTCAGGAAAACATGAGTCCTGCATGGGAAAAGCAACAAGGAGAGCTCATCATTTTAAAAGTTGTTACAGCCTTATCCTCAGCTGATGAATCTCTCCTTTTGTCTCCTTTTTTTATTTTTTTAAAAAAAGATCTCACCAGACACTGAATCTGCCAGTGCCTTGATTTTGGACTTAGTCTCTAAAGCTGTGAGAAATAAATTTATGTTGTTTTTAACATAAAAACAGTTTATGGTATTTTATTATAGTAGTCTGACCTGATTACAGCTGTCTGACATTATATAAATGGCAGAGTAGAAGGACACGTGCTCATCTTTTCCTGGGAGAACACCAAAAGTGCAACTAGCAGCTGAACAACTATAGACAGAAGGCTGTTGGAACCCACCAAAGAAAAGATACCCCACATCCAAGGACAAAGGAGAAGCCACAATGAGATGGTAGGAGGGGCTCAATCGGAGACTCTTGGAGGGTACAAACAAAACTTGTCCACGCCAGGACCCAGGGAAGGGAGCAGTGGCCCCACGAGAGACTAAGCCAGCCCTGCCTGTGAGTGTTTGAGGGTCTCCGGCAGAGGCACAGCTCAGCAGTGGCCTCCCACGGGGACAGGGGCTCTGGCAGCAGCAGTCCTGGGAGGTGTGGTGTGTGGCTTATGTCCACTTGGAGGAGGCCGCCGTCAGCCCTATCCTCAGAGCCAACAGCCCTAGCACAGAGACTGCAGACTCCAGGACTGGGCTGCCTCTGGGAGTGAGCACAGCCCCAGCCATTAGCAGAAAACTGGAATGAAGATTTACTGAGCATGACCCTATCCATCAGAGTAAGACTCAGTTTTTCCCACAGCCAGTCTCTCCCATCAGGGAGCTTGCACAAGCCTCTTACCATCATGCATCAGAGCTCAGACAGAATGAAAACTATAAACACAGAAAACTAACCCAAATGATCACATGCATCTCAGCTTGTGTAAGTCAATGAAACCGTGAGCCACGCCGTGCAAGGCCACCCAACACAGACGGGCCATGGTGGAGTCCTGACAAAACGTGGTCCACTGGAGAAGGGAATGGCAAACCACTTCAGCATTCTTGCCTTGAGAACCCCATGAACAGTATGAAAAGGCAGAAAGAATGACACTGAAAGATGACCCCCCCCCCCAGGTCAGAAGGTGTCCACTATGCTACTGAAAAAGTTGTTACAGCCTTATCCTCAGCTGATGAATCTCTCCTTTTGTCTCCTTTTTTTATTTTTTTAAAAAAAGATCTCACCAGACACTGAATCTGCCAGTGCCTTGATTTTGGACTTAGTCTCTAAAGCTGTGAGAAATAAATTTATGTTGTTTTTAACATAAAAACAGTTTATGGTATTTTATTATAGTAGTCTGACCTGATTACAGCTGTCTGACATTATATAAATGGCAGAGTAGAAGGACACGTGCTCATCTTTTCCTGGGAGAACACCAAAAGTGCAACTAGCAGCTGAACAACTATAGACAGAAGGCTGTTGGAACCCACCAAAGAAAAGATACCCCACATCCAAGGACAAAGGAGAAGCCACAATGAGATGGTAGGAGGGGCTCAATCGGAGACTCTTGGAGGGTACAAACAAAACTTGTCCACGCCAGGACCCAGGGAAGGGAGCAGTGGCCCCACGAGAGACTAAGCCAGCCCTGCCTGTGAGTGTTTGAGGGTCTCCGGCAGAGGCACAGCTCAGCAGTGGCCTCCCACGGGGACAGGGGCTCTGGCAGCAGCAGTCCTGGGAGGTGTGGTGTGTGGCTTATGTCCACTTGGAGGAGGCCGCCGTCAGCCCTATCCTCAGAGCCAACAGCCCTAGCACAGAGACTGCAGACTCCAGGACTGGGCTGCCTCTGGGAGTGAGCACAGCCCCAGCCATTAGCAGAAAACTGGAAT